AATTTGAAATTGGTTTTCCTTTTAGTATAGCTAATTATAGACATTTATTGGTCTCGTACAAGAATTTGTTAAAAATTTGCTAGTTCTTCCATTTCCAAAATCCGGGTGTTGAGCACATAAAGTTGTAATCTGTTTAAAACATTTGAAAATTGAACTTGAATCTGGTGTAGATTTACGTATGTGGAGTTATTCTTTGTTTTATTAAATTGTGACCAAGTCTTGGAGTTTTGTGATGTCGTTTGTTAGAAGTTTGGGACTAGTTTTATTAAAGAGTATATTCAGGTTGTGAGGATTCGTAGTCTGTTATCTTTGCAAAACTTACCGCATCTCCCTTGAAATTTGACCGTTATATTGGAATTAGATTTGCAGGCCGCTTTGTTCAGCTCACACATATTCTTATAGTCGATTCCATCTGAACCACAAACTGGTCTTGACATAACGTGATCTCCATAGCTGTGGCATGCATCCGGACATTTGCAATTTGCCTCTTTTCCATCCGGAGACAGTACACATTGAGCGCCGAAGTTACAAACTTTCTCATGGCATGGATCTTTTATTTCTACGATAAGAAACACTTACGTTAGAGCCATTCTTTCGGGTCATTTTTCAACTGGAAATATTGGGTTTTCCTTTCCTTTTAAATATTTATTATTTTCGCATCGGTCGCAATACTTTCTAGATATTAAACTCACCTTTGGGAAATATATAACAGCAGTTGGACAGGGCAACTTGGATGAAAATGAGAAACGCACACATCTGTACATTGTCAGATAGCATTTCGACTAATTTTCGACGATAAATTGATTCTTTTTAAACTTGGAACACGTTTAGTTCATGCAACGAATTCGTTTTAAGTCCCTGAATAAAGCAGTTCTTTGTCTTTCCGGTGTAAATAATGAATTAATGTACCAGTATTATATTGTTCCAAAACGTAAAAGTGATTAAAGGGGATTTAACATTGATAATATCATTTAAGATTAGTTGTATCGGGATTTCCCTTTAAGAATCAACCAAGTTCGTTTGATAATTTAATTAGTTTGCCGCCAAGGCGGTTTTCCAAATCGACAGCCATTTTTGGGGTAAGATATCGTACTTAAAATACCTGAGCGTCAAACACGTAAGTTAATTAATTCATTAATTATTAATTAATTAAGTTTCATAGATGTGCGTTACAAAAGTTGTTTATGCTGTTCAAAATAACTTACGGGGCAATTTAGACTCAGTCCAGTAAAGTAATAAACAACGAAATTATTTTATTGACCCTTTTACAATTACATCCGGCAATAACTAGCGTACAGAAAGTATTCGCCCTATGTTGTTTATCCGAGTGAACGCAATTATTACGTTTCCGGAATGATGTTGTTGAATAATACTTCTGTTATATCAATTTACATTTATTCGTTTCGGCAGTTCTCGATATCACATATAGGTATTGAGTTACGATAGTTATTCGACGTTGGTAGGTAAAAGTTTTTTTCAAAATACATACGAAATTACTATCTACTCGGTCTAGAGTTTTATTAGAAGAAGAAAGAAGGACAATTTGGGTTTCGGAAATTTTTTGGGTTATCTTTGGAGCAAAGAAATTTTTGAATAGTTAGCGGGGTTGCAATGCATGTCCATGTGAAGGTAGTTTTGAATAATTTGCGAAAAACGAGATTAGACGATTGTAGACGAGGGAAAGTTCACAAAGCAGTTTTCCACGGGTTAGTTGGAAAAACGAATTGGTGGTGAAAACCCGACACGTACCGATAATGGTCGAATGGGGACGGAAATTCGCGATGACACATGAACACTCGGCGCACACAAGAACACAGGTTGGAGTGTCACTGAGTTTAGCATTTTCATCCACAAGGTGCCTCTTAGTTCAAAAGTAGTCAGTGTGAGTTCTTGCAGAGCAAGCGCCATATTGATTTTAAAACCTCACGTAACATTATTTTCGATCGGTCTTGCTTGCGACTAGTACACTCTCCAACTCCCAGAGGAGCCACGTCTTTCTCTCTAACTTGTACCTACTCCACATGAGACGCGCCACTTTTGAATCAGTTTTCTCCCGGAAAAACTTGCCGACACTTTTCCATCTATTTACACTCTAAATAAGTAAACACCTATCCACCTACTTATTTATACGACTCCTTGCATACTTAAAATGCTACAAGTGAAGTATTTTTCCCGATACCTACCACAAATTCATAGTAAAAGAGAAAATCATCCCGTTCAACACCAAATAGTTTTCTTTTTTTCTGACATCAAATCAAAGGAAGTTGAAATAGTCCTATTTAATAAGCACTCTCTTCCACACCCAATATAGGACTGAATGAACTACCATTCAGCGAGTTAAATTCTTTAAATGCTTTTACCCTTAATAGTAACTAATAATAAATAATATTCAATAGCAAAATTTTAAAGTAATAGTCTTTATTTTTGGATAACATTATTCCCTCAAATGACTATTTTCACTATTATCTAAAGTTTTTTTAATAATAAGTAGTTGTTTTATTATCGGGAATTAGAAGATTCAAACTAATTAATTAGTTGTTGGACTTACTCGTAGTGATCCTGGTCAAGTGTTCTTAAATTCTCTTATATATTTTTTGTCTAGTGAAATAAAATCATCAACTGCCACTAAAATGGTAAGGTAGTCGTTAAAGTTTAGGGAGTCTTGTATTTTCTAGCATTAAGCTAATTATCTTGCACAACTTTTTAATCAAAAATTAAGAGAATGCTTTTACAGAATGACGTAGAGGCAGTCTAATAGAGTGTATCTCGAAAGTTGAATTAACTAATTAATGCTCTATTTCTAAACTTGACTTCATCTTTGTATATTAGGAAATCTCTAGAACTTTAGCTAATGTCTTCCACTTCTTTTAGTTTTATCTCCATTCATATTTAAATTATCGTAGACGACAGGAAACAGACATTCTGAAAGTGTTAAAACAAACGCGAACTAAAAATTTTCATTACCGTATTGCACAATAAATATCTACACATAAAAACGATTAGCGAGAATCAATAACTAATTATGATAATGAATATGAATTCAATTTTATCTGATGTCGAAGCGAGTTTGTCGATTGACTTTTAATTCATAACGTACGTAATTGAAACAATTGCTGATAAGCTGGTTGAATTGACATTAGTCCGAATTTCTGTGACAGATGAAAATGGGGAAAAAATAAGGTTTTTCAATTACCCGGGAAATCCCGAGAGGCAGGACCACAATGCTGTTATTTATTGATTAATAGAGAGGAAAAATTTGCCCAGTTCTTTTGTAAGGGAGAAATTATGAAACAATTAATTCTCATCGGTTTAGGAAACGTCTTATTTATTGATTTCCCAAAGATTAACAACGAATATTTAACGACATTTAATGACCTAAGCGACAAAGGGCTTAACCCTCAACAAAGACTTTCTTAAATACCGATCCTACAAGGCAAAAAACTGGACTCTAAATTAACCGCTTCTTCCCATTTTCACTATAATCTAGTGATTATTACTAATACACAAGAAGAGACCTCAATACTCATTCAAATAATAATAATAATAATAATCATCACCATCGTAATCATCATGAGGTCGTCAGTCCTAAGACTGGTTGGACACGCACTTTTTTCTATCCTGAACTAATCTTCACATTTCCCTAAAACTATAGGAACATCCCACATCTTCAACTGTTTCTGAACGGTAATATAATCTACGTATACCTCGAGTCAACTTTTGTATCTGTTTCTAATGTCTCGAACTAGCGCTTCATACCTAACAAGGTGTCCTACTAACCTATCTCGTCTATTTCTTATTGGCTTCCACAGCGCCTTCTGTTCTCTTATTCCAAGTGCTAAGACTGGATGGACACGCACGTCCTATCTTGAGCTAATCTTTGCATTTCCCTAAAACTAGAACATTCCATATTCTTAACTATTTGCGAACAGTAATCTAGGTCTACCTCAATTCCTCTTAACCACTGTTTCTGCCTGTAATGTGTCTCTGCCTAAATCTTCATGCCTGAGAAGGTGTCCTACCAACCTATCTCGCCTATTTTTTATTGACTTCGATAGAGTCCTCTGTTCTCTTATTCTTTCTAATACTACATCATTTCTAACTTTCTCTATCCACGGTATCCTCATCATTCGCTTGTAACACCACATTTCGAACGCTTCTAACCTTTTCTTTTCCGGCGCGCCCACCGTCCATGTTTCGCACCCGTACAGTTCCGTGCTCCAAACATACTCCTTTAACAGCCTTTTCAGCATTTCTAAATTAATCGTTCGTGAGCATAGGAGTGACTTCTTTTTATTGAAGGCGATTCGACCCTGCGCTATCCTCTGCTTAACTTTATATCCCTATTACTCCTTCCGTCCTGACTTATCTGACTTCCCAGATACCATACCATGATGATGATATACAAGACTTTCGTACACGTCAATTCCCATACAATTTTCGACGGATTCAACGAGTAGTTACTGATGCTAATTGAGAGAAAATGCGACACGTATTTCAGTTTTCGCATTTTTGCAACGAGATGCAATGTAGCATTTCCGGCTTCAATGTATGCCAGCCTTTAGAGGTCTTTTGTTCAATTGTTGTATTGATAACATACCTACACGTATTGTATTCTGTCTTAACAATCGCTGACCGGTTGTAATATCATACATGGAACCAACTTTATTAAAAATTCTTGAAACGTCTACGGTATTACCTATTTCTACCAGTGATTTTTAAACTTTTCTGGGGATGGATTCGTACAATAATGTATAATATGTCAATCTGTTTGTAGGATGTGTGCTTGGCAAATTTTGGTTTAAAACGTAGGTAGCTTGGTGTCTAAGTAAGGAAACTATTGTATTAATGATTAAATAGGTAGACAATTATGTTCTCGTATGTGCTCGATATGTAAACAAGTCATGTACGTATATAACGCCTATGTTAGACCTTTATGTAAGTTTTAATAGGCAATCAGTTATAAAGCAATTATGCTAGTTGTAATTACAGAATCAACTACTCCAGCAATAACCACTGCTTGAGTTGCCTTGATGATAAGGTTAATGTTAACTAGTTTCGTTAGCGCAACTGAATTTCTACGTCTATTTACGAGTTCTATCAATTGTTCGTTTTAAAATCGATTTAACAAAATCCTAACTAATATTATAAATACAAATGTGCGTTACCATTTCACGCTTTAACTACTCAACCAATCAACATGAAATTTTCTACACATATTGTCAGGGGTACAGAGAAGGACATAGGGTACCTTTTATCCAAAAAAATATTTTTCTCAAAGGATAGAAAAATTAGTTTCATGTGGCATGTATTTAGGACATTAACACAGGTAAAACCTACTACATGATAAATCATAAATATATTAAGAGGAAAAAATGATGAAAAGTCAACAAAAGAGCTTTTAAACCGCAAATTAAATAAAAAACTAAAAACACGACTTTTTTTATGTAGAACGATTTAAACATACAAAAAGGCACCTAGGAAAAACAGGAAAGCTGGAAATGAATTATTTGATTAATTTTGGTGAATTTAATTTAACACAAGAGAGGACTCATGCCTAGTAAAAATATCAAAGGCAGGATTTGATAAACCAGTACGAACTATACAAAATAACGCTGTTTGCTTTTCTGAATTATTTTAATAAAACTTCTTTCCCGCATTTACAATTAGGTATATGCCGGAAATATGCAGTTCCCTCTTATTATTAAAGCAAAAGTTATATCTTCCTAAAGAGTTTAATTATAAGTGGGTAGTGGTTTTAAGAAGTTCAGTTTATTAATGAAAAGAAGATGGAATAATCTAAGGAGATTCAACGCCCCGAATCTTCTGAGGTAACTTATTCAAATAAATAGGGATTTGTAAAAATTTATGGTACCTATGTACAAAACATATTTTGGTTAAACAGCATTTGTGTACTCATAAGATCGTCAGTCCTTAAGACTGGTTGGACACGTACCTCCATTCTTTCCTATCCTGAGCTAATTCCCTAAAAGTAGAACAACCCACATCCTTAACTATTTGCGAACAGTAATCTAACTTAGGTTTACCTCTACCCTTCCTAACTCCTGTTTTTACCTCTACTATGTCTGTAACTAGACGTTCATGTCTGAGAAGGTGTCCTACCAATCTATCTCACCTATTTTTATTGACTTCTATAGAGTCCTCTGTTTTCCTATTCTTTCTAATACCTCTTCATTTCTAACCACCTCTATCCACGGTATCCTCATCATTCACCTTTAACACCACATTTCGAAAGCTTCTAACCTTTTCTTTTCCGCCGCGCCTACTGTCCATGTTTCGCACCCGTACAACGCCGCGCTTCAAACATACACCTTTAACAACCTTTTTAGAATTTCTAAATTAAACATTCGCGAGCATAGAAGTGACTTCTTTTTATTAAGGGCGACACGACCCTGCGCTATCCTCTGGTTTATATCCCTACTACTCCTTCCGTCCTGATTTATCAAAGAAATAATGAAATTGATTTTCGGATTTGTTAATTCTTTTTCTGAATATCCTAAAAATTAGTTCAGAACTGTACTCTTTTCAACATCTAAATATCGAGAAAAGAATGGAAATTATTTCCATGATAGTTCTATTTACGTAAAATTCGCGTTATGCGAACATCGTAGTATTTAAAATAGTTTTCTCGAGTTTAGCAAAATTATTTCATCAGTTTTGCTGTTCTTTGTGGAGGACTGTGGATAAAAAGTTAGCCGAATAACTGCATTTAAGCGAACAGTGCCCTACAATCAGACCGCAAATATTTCTGGCGCTGTTAGTTGAGGTTTAGTTCGGTCCATTCTTCACTGGATTGTTCAGTTAGCACGTTTCTGTGTTTATTAAATTAACTCTTCTTTCTAGCCTTTCGGCGTAGATTAATATAGTAATAATAATAAAAATAATGAAATGCTTCGTATTTGAACGTGATGAAAATCGTGTACCTATATAGGAAACTAAATTAAAACTTTATCTGAAAATTAAAATAAAGTTTCTTAACTGCCTTTTGTTCTTTTTAGACTTCATATAGCAAACAAATAATAAGAGCGAATATAAAGATAGGAGACGAAAAATTAGAAGAANCAGTATTGGCAAACCTATACATAGCTACCCGGTACTGTATTAAACATCGACGAAACGTTAATGTACCGAACCTTGACAACTGAAGATTGACTAAGTATTGGTCCGGTATTGATGGATATATACTTGGCTACCACGTATTGGACTAAAACTTGGAGAAACATTAATGTACCGAACCTTGGCACTTGAAGATTGGTCCAACATTCGTCGAATATTTCGCACTATGGGTTCCGGTTTAGGTCTGTTGTCCTACATGGAACGATGTCGAATCTCAAAACAAATATAGACCGATGGTCCACAGAATCTACCGTATTCAAAAGAATTGTCAGCATGCAGGTAATGATTTTAATCAAGTACAATATTATCTATCTTTTGGAAGTCTTGATTTCCAGTTATAACGTTCCTTTCAATCTTTAACTTTCCGGGAAAGTTTGTTGGACCTGTCAAGGGCATCTGTTGAAATACTTGTACATTAGAATTAATCTTAACTTCACGAAAATGTTCCTCTCGAGTTTTATTGAATTTTTCATCTTCGCTTACATTAAATACGCCGAGTGAATATTGTTTTCCATTCTAGTTTTTTTATCCTCTTGAACGCTTTATTTCACATTTCCAGAAAAACAAAAATTAAAAACAAAACTCACCACAGGACCCGATGTGCGAAAGTCTTGTGCTAGAACGGGCTTTGCATGTTGTCATTTTTAATATGCACAAATTTCGGTAGGTTTTTCCATCTGTTCCACAGACGGGATCGAAGATATCCTTGCATTTTGTAGGACACTGGCAGCTGCTTCTTCCATCTGAATTTACTACGCAATGTGCGCCCCAAGCACAAAACGTTTTTGCACAAGGTTCTGAAACAAAAAATACTTCATTTAGAAGTCCAAAGTTGACGCCTATGAAAGTTATGTATCTATACTTTGATCACTTTTAAGATTGACCGAACCAGAACAAACGTGAGGTCGTAATCACCTAATCAGCGTAGTCCTTAACGGTTACCGAAATTTCCCAAGGCCGCATTCAGATATCATGTGCTTTATCATATATACTTTCACAATTATAAACTTAAAGCTTAAAGAGACCGTTTCTTAAGCGATTTTTCCGTTTTTTGTACGAAGAATTTGACCCTTATCCACCTTATATCTTCATCGCTGTCATAATCGATTATATTATAACTAAACTTGAACAAATGTTCAGGTAAATACTCAAATAATGAACAAATGTGTGTTTTGAGTCTTTATATTGTCTTTCTGTAACAAAGACAAATAGGTATATATTCGTTAAGTGTCAGGCACCTCCACCATATTTTTACAGGTATTCAGAGTGCGAACGATAGGATAAAGCTTTTCGATAGTTTCTGATGTTGCAGGTCCGTAATGACCTAACTCTGATGGCTACAGAAAGTAAGATCATCTCCGTTCAGAAATCGACGAAAGAGATAGCTCAGATAAAAGCAATGGTAATGAGCAGGATATATTGATATGGAAATTAGCCGGAAAAAGGACTGACTTGATGGAAGAATTTAAACGGTTCTAAGTTTACGGTGGTAATATTCCTGGGGAGTGAAATAAATATCGAGTTACATGCGAAAATTGAAGGAATGATAAGTTTAATTACATTACGTTAAATAAACAATGTCTCCAGCAGCGAGTTTTAAAGCGCAATCCAGTTCAAGTAGATACTTACTCCGTGGTATACGTACAATATTAAACCGAAGCGGAAATTAAAAATTCAAGATAAGGTGAATGAGTGAAGAAATGGAATTGAAGTAAGTAAAAAATACAGAAAATTTAATATCAATCTGTGCATACGCACATGTTATATACATTTACAATAGAAATTTCTCATGTAGTTCCTGTTCAAACTTTAATAAAGTTTTTATTACATAACGTAAAGAGAGTGACAATATCGTTCATATATCCAAGAAGCAGCGTAAATTTTTGCCTATCAGTTTAAAATAATATTTGTATAAAGGACTATTTCTAAACTAAGTTCAAGAATTGACTATGCCTATTATTGGGCTAAACTTGGTGAAACGTTAATATACCAAACCTTCGCACTTGAAGATTGACTGGACATTGGTTCAGTATTATCAAACCTGTATTTGACTGTCTAGTATTGCACTAGACTAGGTGAAAAGTTAATGCACCGAACCTTGGTAATTGGTCAGAGATTGGTTCAGTATTATCAAACCTGTATTTGACTGTCTAGTACTGCACTAGACTAGGTGAAAAGTTAATGTACCGAACCTTGGTAGTTGAAGATTGGTCGAACTTTGGTTCAGTATTTTCAAACATGTATTTGATTGCCTATTATTGGACTAAACATGGTGAAACGTTAATGTGCCGAACCTTGGCACTTGAAGATTGACCGAAGATTAGTTCAGTATTAACAAACTTGTATTTGATTGCCTACCATTGGACTAAACTTGGTGAAATGTTAATGTACCGAACCTTGACACTTGAAGATTGGTCGAACTTTGGTTCAGTATTTTCAAACATGTATTTGATTGCTTATTATTGGACTAAACTTGGTGAAACGTTAATGTGCCGAACCTTGGCACTTGAAGATTGGCCGAAGATTAGTTCAGTATTAACAAACTTGTATTTGATTACTTACCATTGGACTAAATTTGGTGAAATGTTAATGTACCGAACCTTGGCACTTGAAGATTGGTCGAACTTTGGTTCAGTATTATCAAACCTGTATTTAATTGCCAAACCTCGGCATTTGAAGATTGGCCGGACATTAATTCAGTATTGACAAACCTGTATATAATTACCCATTAATGAACCAAACTTGATATTTACCGAACCTTACTACTTGAGGATTGGCCAAGCATTGGTTCAGTATTGGCAAACCTATACATAGCTACCCGGTACTGTATTAAACATCGACGAAACGTTAATGTACCGAACCTTGACAACTGAAGATTGACTAAGTATTGGTCCGGTATTGATGGATATATACTTGGCTACCACGTATTGGACTAAAACTTGGAGAAACATTAATGTACCGAACCTTGGCACTTGAAGATTGGTCCAACATTCGTCGAATATTTCGCACTATGGGTTCCGGTTTAGGTCTGTTGTCCTACATGGAACGATGTCGAATCTCAAAACAAATATAGACCGATGGTCCACAGAATCTACCGTATTCAAAAGAATTGTCAGCATGCAGGTATAAAATCAAGTTTGTCTTATTGAGATGGTATTGAATGGAGGAGAACGGGACCCTCGGATCCTTATGCGACTCACGGTAATCAGCACCAGAATGTACGACGTACAATTTAGCAAATTGTCGAGATTTATTGGCATGTAGTTAGACAAGGCTCCGAGATAAGAAGAACCTTTCAACTTCAGGACAATAAATTACACGAAATTTAGTGCTACGTGACACACATTCACCTTCGCCACTCAACTCTATCTCATTAAGTTGTTTATTAAAGTCGGAGTTCTCGTTCTGCCACTGACTGAAGAGAGATCCGATTTCGATTTCTTTTAGAATACTTCGCAGTTCCAATAATAACATTTTACTTTTTTACAAACGACCAGCATTTAAATCTGAATGCGCCGTTACCATTGAATTTAATAAATTACTTCCTAATGATGATTTCTATTCGGTTAAAAGACACACTTGCCGCTGAACGAATCATTTATACATTATTACCGTATAGTAGAACCATCATAATTCAGACTTCTATAAAGTAAAAGCCTTTATAATTTCAAAAAGAAACATAACATGTCTTGAAACATTATTTAAAATTATTATTCCGTTGAACTTTAACTGCATACATTTTATAAAAATGTTGTTAAATATTCAAACGAAATGAATTTCGGTCAGTTAACAATTTGACTACTAGTAGTCACGGTATTAGTTTGTTTCAAATTAGCATTAACCTATGTAAATATTCAACCCTCAACTATATAATGGAATGAATAAATCGTAAACATTTACATCCGCATTACGCCAATATTAATCAAATTAGATATTTTACCAATTATTCTGAGACTTCAACTATAGTTTATTATATATATTGTTACTTTATTAGTCATTCCACAACCGTTAATGTTTACATCTTTCGTCGATGTAGTTGCTTAATTGTTATCGCAATTTCCCTATATGTTGCCAATTCACGCCCAGGGCCGGCTTCGGATTTAAACTTCGTTTTTCCAAAACCACGCTGCATTACTCGCTATGCGATTTTCTATTGCTCTAGTTGATACTCCCAAAAGCTTGCTACTTATTTCAGAAACACCCTTTGCAGTAATTCTTATACTAAGAAGAAATATATGTCATATATGTTCCTATCAGCATGGCTGTCATTAAACAACGTTCCGTGATAGTCAATATCCTTTTTAGAAAAAGGACTTTTTGTTGAATTTCACAATTTTGTGCGAGTTTTTTATTCATTAGCGTCCTTTGTTAACACACAGAAGTTAATTATGCAATAAGAAATTAAATCAGCCAGTTCATTTTTAAAAAGTCAAGTAACCCGACGTGATAAAGTACAATTCCTGTTGTGTTCCATTTCTGAAATTTATCTCTGCGAGATAAGGATAATGTAATCCTTTTTTTTGTAATCGGGAAATTTCTTGCGTGTTTCCGGAGTGAAAGGAAGCCGGGTGGAATGCGAGTTGAATTTACATTAGTTTTATTTTGAGAGTGGACATAGGTTGTGCGTATTTTCGACACGAAAAAGGGGGAAGAAAGAGAGGTGATCTGTGAATAATCCCGCTTCCCGACTAGCCTCGGCTCTCTTAAGTTCCTTGAAGAATTAAGCGGGATCCAGTGGACAAATGGATACATTCACTGGAGTTCGTCGTCTGGCCGGCAACGGTGTCGTCGCTAGATGTTTCTTGTAACGGCCCTAACTTAATGGGACACTTTTATACGAACTGTGTTCTCTTTTTGTCCCCGATGAAACTTTGTCGAGTTGAAATCACTCTTTCCGTAACATTTATCTTCTGGCCTGGACAAAGTGCTCTGCAAGGTTGCGCGACTCGTTTAATTTAGCTGCCGTTTCACACATCTGAAATGCATACAAACCACTGACTACATAATTAGGCCAGCTTTACATCTTCTTTCACTTGAAATATCTACTTTCCGATATCTGACGCTATATATTCGAACAGTTCATTCAAATTATCACGCGACAAAACGCTGACGCGACAGATAAAAGAAAAATTACTTTATGCTTACATAATTTCTTTTAAAATAGGCGAGATAGGTTGGTAGGACACCTTCTCAGGCAGGCGTGAAGGTCTAGTCAGAGACATATTAGGGGCAGAAACAGGAGTTAGGAGAGGTAGAGGTAGACCTAGATTAGATTACTGTTCGCAAATAGTAAAGGATGTGGATCGTTTTAGTTTTAGGGAAATGCGAAGTTTAGCTCAGGATAGGAAAGAGTGGAGGTACGTGTCCAACCAGTCTTAGGACTGACGACCCTATGATGATGAATATCTTTTAATACACCCTTGTGAAGAGTATTCAAAAATTCATGAAATATATTCGAAGTTTATTATAGCGATTACAAGTAAAAGTATTCTTATTATATGTTTTTAAGAAAACCTTCTGTTTTTAAGTTAAAAAAACGCTTGTTTAACGTTTCACCCTTTGATAGAGGGATTCATAAGGAAATTATTATTTTCGTAAAGATATTGGACGCAGTCCAATTTTGTGTTTAGGTATTTGTAAAAAGTTACGTACGGATGAAGTAGCGGGTTAGAATTTGTTTATTGATTTTTGATTAGCGGTGTCATTATGAAAAATTTGATGGAATTAATTAAAAGTTATCGCTGGTGCAAAAGCGCAATGATAATTTCACCTTACACATAGCCGAAAGGGTGCGCGA